AGAGAGAGAGAGAGAGAGAGGGTTCTTTCAACATTTGTTCTCTGAAATTTAAGTCCAATAGTATGAGTAATCCACTCATGAACTTGGATAAGGCAATGGGAAAAAGTATAATCATATACAATGACTTGAGAATAAATGAAACAAAGAGTTCATGGAGTACAACAATTAACCAAAAAAGAACCCAGCTGCTTTGGTCTTGAAGAAAGGCAGATTCAAATTGAATGCATTAGACCAACAAAATTAAAGTTCAATTTTGAGAAATGGATCTTCAGGTCGCCTTCCTGTTCACCTTTAGATAGGGTAGCGCCCCAATCACATTATCGTAGTCACTTCTGTTAACAGCATGCTGCGTACAGTTTGAAAAATAAGCCACTAAATTACAGAATCCATAGGAAGAAATTATTTGTAATTTACTGTTTAAGCTTTAATATAGAGATAATAGGAAGACCAAGAAAAGCAGTTCATTTCTCAAGAGCCACAGTGATGCCTAACACTATCAGGTTGATATACTTGACCAAACAATAGCCTCCTATTTAAGCTTTAATATAGAGAAAATGGTAAACTAAGAAAATCTGTTCATTTCTCAAGTGCCACTGAGATGCCTAATGATATCAAGTTGACACATTTACCAAAACAACGTGCACTTTAGTATGGAACTCAGTCAAACAGACAGAACACACTGCGACTGGAAAGATTGCCAGGAGACTGATTCAGTGCATATTATGGTAGTGAGAGAATTAAATAAAAAAAAAGGGAATCAATCTAACGACACACCAGTTCCCCATTTTATTTTTCATAAATGAATGCAGCTTCATCTATTACATTGAAGTGTAGAATGAAAGTTTTAATCCATGCCATTCTTGTCAAAGTTGCCACAGTGATAAACATGAATATTTGTAGTTCAATGATCAAAACACTTAAGTATATATATCCGTCAATCTGCAGTTTGAGCAAACTAGAAAATAAAAAGAACATTACAATATTAGATGCAACCTTAATAAAGTTGGCAGCATCTTCAAAAGAAAGCATACATGTTCAAATTCTTAAACTAAACCACAGTCACGTGCTTTGTACTTTGTCAATATTGAGGTTTGCAAATTTTGGACGGCATAGACTTATCAAAGATAAAAAAGTTCAAACATATATCTCCTCATGAAAGTTAAAAATCCTGCTTTTAAGAAATTTAGATCAAAATATCAAAATCCTATGAACCTAATGGTCTGACTCGATTGATTTTTGGCTAGAATTTGTGGCACAGGAACAGGGTTCTTTTGTTAAATGCCTGTTGGTCATAGATAATATTTCCACAAGCCCCTGAATTGGCCAAAGTAAAGAGAAAATCTAGGGGCAGTTAGATGTGTATCCATATTGACATTGTATGATGACAATATCGACTTGGTGAAAGATATGTATGAGAAACCGCTAACGATTGGAGAGTAAAGTGAATTTTCAATGACAATAGGTTTACTTCAGGGGTCAGCATTGAGCCCATACCTTTGTCATAGTTATGGAAGACTTAATAGGCACCTACAAGATAAGGTACCATGGAGTATGTCGTTCATAGATGATATAGTTTTGATCGATTACTGAAACGGCGTCAGTCAACACAAAGTTAGAACTTTGGAGGGACGTTCTAAAATCTAAAAGTTTCAACATTAGTCAGGCTAAGACAACGTACATAGAATGCAAGTTTAGTAATACTAGTAGAGACGAAGAAGTTGTTAAGACTAACGACCAAGAAATACCAAAAAGAGCACACTTTCAATATTTTGGGTCGATAACTAGGAAAATGAAGAGATTGAGGAAGATGTCACGCATGGAATTAGAGTTGGGTGAGTGAGTGGAGATGTGCAACAGGAGTTTTATGTGATCACCGCATTCTAATGAAGCTGAAGGGAAAGTTCTATAAGACATGTGTGAGACCAGCTTTGCTTTATGAGGTTGAATGTTGGACAGTCAAAAAATAATATACCCACAGGATGAGTGTAGCTAAGATGAGGATATTGAGATGGATGAGTGGCAAGACAATAAGGGATAGAATTCAAAATGAATACATTTGGGAGAACTTAAGTATGGCGCCACTAGGTGATAAGAAGAGAGGAAGTAGACATAGGTGTGTTGGCCATGTGCAGCTCAGATTCAATACAGCACCTGTTAGGAGGTGCAAGTTCTTTCAAGTGGAAGGCTCAAAAAGGGCAAGGGGTAGGCCCGAAAGGACATGGTTGGAAGTAGTGAGAAAAGATATAGGGACTTATGGCCTCACTGAGGGTATGGCCCTTGATAGAGCAGAATGACGGACCGAGATTCATGTAGCCTGTGAAGAGTCTCAGGTTTCTCTGAAGAGACCTAGTGTCCATGGATTGATATGAATACATAGACTTGTTGTTATAGACAAATTACAGGTGACACCAATAGAAACTAAATCATAGACACCTAAACTATACCCAGACTTACCATAAGATATAGGTTAAAATATCCTACCCTTCCCATATTTACTGAGTACAATATACACCTTCTATATTAATCCTATATACAATATATACTTTCCTTTCACACTCCCCTTCAAATTCAAGATACTATGAAAGAGAGCAGTTGGAGTTTGAACACCAAGTCGTGGAAACGAGCAATTGGATCTTTAAGTGCATACTCAGATTGCTTGATCAATAAGCACAGAAAGCAGTGGTGAAACAACAAGCCTCGAGAACAGATGGCTTCAGGAACTCTTGGAAAAGATCAAACAAATCAGAGAGACGAAACACGACTCAGCATAGAGACAGATCAGAGATTCAAAACACAACACAGCAAAGAGACAAATCTGATAGTCGAAACGCGACTCGACAGAAATGACAGATCAAAGAGTCAAAACACGACTCAACAAAAATTGTACCGACTGGGTGAGCAACAGACTCGTCTTGAAAATTGGCAACAATGCTTCAGGGACGAGGAATGGACACAGCTAAGATGAACCTTGCTTTGATACCATGTGAAGAGTCTCAAGTTTCAATGAAAAGACTCAGTGTCCATGAATTGATATGAATACACAGACTTGTCTTCTTTAGACAAATTACAAATGACACTAATAGAAACTAAATCATAGATAGCTAAACTATACCCAGACTTACCATAAACTACAGGACACAATATCCTACCCTCTCCATATTTACTGATTACAATATACACCTTCTATATTAACCGAATATACAATATATACTTTCCTTTCACATAGCCGACCCCAAATGGTTGGAAAAAAGCTCTAATGATGATGATGATGATGATGACAGTGTGACAAGATAAATTAGAAACCCTATTTGATTGAAAAGATTACAGTTCGCCCCCAAAGAAATGGCTCTTGTGATGAGATCACCATCCATAAACCCAAAACAGAACTCAAGGGCAATACCACAAATATTGTGCCTTCCCCTTCCCTTCAAAACCAAATCTGATGTAGGACCAGTTTAGTGGTTCCTACACAAGTTCAATGGTTACTTGGTTGGCTTGAATAGCACTAGCTTTAATGTGGAAATTATGTTTGGGTTGGTGGGAAGTGGATAGTAGTTTAGAAGGAAAGGAAGAAGTAATAGGCCTGACTGTGAAGAAGAGAAGCTAGAGAGATAGGGTGGTGGATGTGGTTTAGATGGGAACGGGGTCTTGAAAAAGAGATCCTCATTTCAGAGGGAAGAAGATGATTAGGAAGATTTACGAAGAAAATTTTTGATGAAGAATGAACTAGGGTTGGGTGGTTATGGGATAAAGGTTTGGATGGGATGATTATGAACTTAATTGGGGAGAGAGATCATGAAACAAATAGTCCGAAACTCTCACACCAGGAACTAGGTTGTAAAAGGATGGGGAAAGAAGATGTGAAAGGAAACTGATAGTGAGAGAATAAGGTATAGATTAGGTTCTGGTTTTATTTAGGAGGTGGCTGAATGGAATGGAAGGAGTTAGGGTCTCAGGTACATAAGTTCAGGCAGGACATAAGGAGATGATGAACTAGCTGGGTTGGGTGTGGTGTGTAAGAGAAAGCAGTGTGACGGTTTAAGGTGGATTAGTTGGCTGGATATGGCAGAGAATATTGCTCGAAAATTACAGCCCAGCAGGAGCTGAGAAAGATTGAAAATGGGACGGCTGATTTAGATTTTGGTTGAGGGCAGGTAGCTTAGAGAGAGATGCAAAGTGATCTGGACTGAAAAGAGAGAGAGAATGGTAGAAGATGGAGAACAGGATGACATACCTGAAACTAGGGGATCTTGATCTCCCCAATTCCCTAAAAATCAACACTTAACTGGATACGACATCATGGATTGAACACCAGCAAAGAGGAATCAACACCTTGTCAGGGAACCAACACCAATGATGGAAAGAATATCCAATTATATTTTCATTGGCTGTAATCATCTGGCCTACGGCCTTTACATTGAATTATATTACTTCAGAGCTCTAAACGAGTTTTTGGCTGCTGGACGTGTTTGCATCAGTATTCATATTGAGTTCCATTAGAAACTGTGCTTTCGCGTATAGTGTTAAAATAGGTATTTTCTAATTTCTTTCACACACAAATTGGTGGTCTTTTCTGTGCATGTGTGCACTAAATCACCTACAGCACATGCTTTCTTATGGCACCAAAACAAACCATAAACATCTAACTTGAGTTGCAAGTCAAAAAGACTTCACCAACAATTTAACTCATTGCAAAGAATGAAATCTGACCAAACTTAATCAACAATACTCTATAAACTAAAAAAAATGAAACCACCAACAAAAACGAAGCAATTTATTAAAATAGATTCAACTTGCCTAATTTAATGGCCAATTGTGGGCTTCAATTTTTTTATTTCGAAGTTCCCTTCTGAAAATGTGTCTCACATAGGAAACCCTAGGTATCTCATATGGGGTCCCAATCTTTCGGCCAAGTTTGGTGTGAATCACACTTTTGGCTGCTTCTCCTCTTAGGTGTCTTTGGTGTGAAGTCCCCATTAAAATATAGTTCTAGTTGTAAGGAGCCTCACATGGTGAGAATGTACATTCAATCACAATGGGAGTATGTGTTTCTAGAGATCTTAAATAAGCAAGTGTTCGCAGCGTTTAAGGTATTTGAGGCAGCGTTCAAAAACATTTAATCCCACACAATTACAAGATCGCATGTTTTTTTAACCTTTTTGCATTCTTTCAATTCATTCTCAGTTGCTAAGATCCATAATGGCAAACATCTACAAGTGTTATCAAACTCAAGATACAAACTGTGAATAAGAACCATATTCCATATACTCTTAAGTTACCATTCATATGATCAGGAGGATAACTGAAACATGAATTAATTTTGGAATCACGATGTTTGACTTCTTCACAGGTAATTCATATATAGCAGGATGGTAAATTCTCAATAAGAGAAGAAACATGATGATAAGACCTAGTGTTATTGGCTGATGAACTTTGGAAGAAAATTGTGATGATGTTTGACTTCTTGCCAGCTTTTCATGTAAAGCAAGATGCTTAGTTCTCAATAAGAGAAGATCAATGTTGCTAAGACCTATTTTGTTTGGCAAGCACGAAAGCATTATCAAGCTAATGAAGCCATGAAATGCCTAGACTGCCATTTGAACAGGACTTCACGATCAATAAAAACTAGAATTCCCTAGTACAATCTAGTCTTTCATGCATCAACTGACACTGTTTCTTTTAAGAGACTTTACAATGAAAACCCACAGGTAAAAAACAAAAGCACATATACACAAAAATAGCATTCAGAAACCCTAGACACATACAAGGATATATGTGAGTAGACATGCTTATACATGAGTGTAGTTCTGCATACATACATTAATACATATAAACATATGCTTGTGCGCATATATCTCACTGGATAGAGTGGGCATTTTCCATCAATGTACATAAGAAAGCCCTCGAACAGCAAAGCAAGAAATTGGGCAGTTTTTATAAGATTGTTCATGCCATCAAATTTGGGACAAGAGGAAATTTGGTTGGCAACTGAGGCAAGTTTCTTTTTTTTTTCTTTTGCAATTAAATATGAATTACTTCAACACAGAAAAAACAATGTCTATCAATTCTACAATAATGTACCAAGTCGAGTTTAGATTTCATGCTACCATTAAATTTGGACAAGAGAAAATTTGGTTGGTAACAGAGCAAGTTTCTTTTCCTTTTTTCTTTTGCAATTAAAGATGAATTCATTTCAACACAGAAAAAACAATGTCTATCGATTCTACAATAATGTACCAAGTCAAGTTTCGATTTCATGCTAATACTCATATTTATTTTGTTAATTTTAAGCTATAGCCAACCATAAAAAGATATATAATATTGTAATAATCCATGGTCCCACAGTTTCTTCGCGTAAGAACCCCAACAATTAGATGTCATATGTCACAAATAGGTACCAACATAATAACAATAAGAATAGGGTCCAAGGCTTGTAATTCATAATACAAAGAAACAACTAAGAATACTACACTATATTTGACATCCTTAAGAATTCTTAGCACATTAAAGAACATAAGATGAGATGAAAGCAAGAGGAACATGATTAATAGTTTTTTATAATATAGATCATAAATTAAATGGGATGAGGACCTTAAACTTTCCCTTAACCAATTCCAAGCTTAGGTAAAGGAGGTGGGATGTGTTAGGTAAGTAGCTAGCATAAAATTTTGCCATATCTTATCATGAATCATGAATCATTAATCTATATTATATGCTCATGTAGGGTGTTCCCCTTAAGCTACGTGCTGCACCACCACCTGGGTGCAGTGAGAAAAAAGCAATGGTTTCCTAGGGCATTGTCTTACTGAGGGTATGACTGTTGATAGAGAATAATAGAGGAGCAGGATACATCTAGCCGACCCCAAATAATTGGGATAAGGCTTGGATGATGAAGAAGATCACCAATTGTGATTGCAAGAATATATCTGTATATACTTTTCGTTTTATTGTTAGGGACACACCTTTGTATGCTAAGTTCAGGAATTTTTTAGTACAGATCACAAATTGTAATGGCAAGAAATAACACTCCTTTTTAACTCCAATATAACAGTTCATGATGTTTTTAATGGTAATATAACACTTTATGATCTATGATAAATAACATAATTTATTTACCACAAAAAGGGCAGAAATAACAGAATGTATCTAGAGATTTGCAAAAGAGAATATTTGAAACCCAACCATTTTTGAGAGGCGGTTTTTTCTTTTCGTATTCTTCTTTGCGAGTAAGTGTTGCTTTCCAGCACGCCTTCGCACTATCTTCCCGTTCCCAGTCACACGGAACCGCTTTGCTGATGCCTAGGGAATCATGAAAACAATCAAAACTCAGAAATGAAAACCAAAACAGAAATCAGTTAAATTTTATCTCTCTGTCCCTATTAATTCAATTAGATACAACCAATTCAATATGATCCTCCCCTCTATAAGCCATAACAAAGTTTCCTTCCCTCACCACTATCTCAATGGTGATTGAAGTACTACTAATTCAATTTGTTGCTGAAAACACAAAGAAATCGTTTTTTTTAATGGAGAAATGACTAGAACCCAATTAGAAGCTCATCTCACCAGGAAAGACAAAAAATGCAACCTCCACACTGATTCAGAAAAAGATAAAATGCAATAAAATCCTCTGTTTAAAATGAATTGAGTATTATTGATCGAAACTTCACTCATCTGCCTCACAGAATAGCCACTAAAATCCAACAATTCTACCAAATCTCTGTAGTGAATCAAGTACCATTGCACCTTTTTCACTTAGTAGCTATTAAAAAGCAAAAATTCCACCACATCCACGAATAGGTCACAGAAACAAAAATTTAAAACAATATCTGGAATAGGTTTTCCCTTGCTAAACATTCACACCCAATTTCTTCACCATTTTTTCTCAGGTAAAGAAAATTTTATCGAGTTTTATCACTTCAGCAAAGAACCCACCAAAACTAAAAAGTTATTAAACGATTTAAAACACGATTACTAGATTTGCATGCATAACCAGTGGAAGACTGGGAGGAGAGAGATAACACCTTGTGGGTCTTCATTTTATAACCTTTTGCAGCCACAATTGTAAGAGAACCCGGCTTCTGAGGAGGATTACAAAAGGGGGTCACGCTTTTTAGGGGAAACGAGCTCAACCCAAATGAGCTCCTGCTAGAGCTTAGTTTCAGAGAGTTCCATTTCAGACCCACACTAAGACGAACTCCATTAGGGCGTTTTAGAGAGAGAAAAGAAGAAGGAGGCCTCACCCAACAAGCTGCCATGGCGGCACAGGCCATTTTTGAATGACACAAACCTCAAGAGCCAAGAAATGGAGAAAGACGGCTCTAGAGAAAGAGACTGTGCTCCGGATAAGGCTCAAAATTTCCGGGAGAAATTTCCGTGATTACTTAAAAGGAAAATTATTTCACGCTGTATGGACCGCATTTCTACATATGCCATCAATAAAAAGTGTAAAGATGGAGGCAAGTAGGCGTTGCATATAAAAACGAATGGAAACTACCTGTTCAGATATTTTCTTACTAAAATTATTATTTTAAATTTTTAAAATTTATTTAATTTTTTCATATTTATGATCTCCATATTATATGTCTTTAAAAATTAAGTTAAAAAATCTATTTCATAAATATTTATTAATATGCCTGCATTTCTACATATGTGGGCTTAGCCGTACAGTAGCTGGATCCTTTTATAAATATATGCAATGCGGAGAGATTTCTTCCTCCCTAGGGATGACAGAATGCATTTATTCTCTTGAGAAAAACACATGCTATGGATACTTTGTGGACTTCAAATTTTGGGGATGTAATTTTTACAAATCATAAAATAATCTCAGTAAAAACAATTTCTACAATAAACTCCCTATGTACTAGAAAATACTTATGCCTCACAATTGAATAAAGGCCGTATAATTTTTGAAGGGCTAAATCTAAGTGTCACATAACTTAAAATTTATTTTTTAAAAAATAATCATCGAGTAATTATTATGTGTTTCCCAAAATTTTAGACTAAAAAAGTTCTTCAAAATTGAATAAAGACCATCTAATTTTTGAAGGGCTAAATCTAAATGTCACATAACTTAAAATTTAATATTTTTTTTAAATAATTATCTAATAATTATTATGTGTTTCCCAAAATTTTAGACTAAAAATGTTATCCTATGTAGGTGTTTTGAGTAAGGGAGGAGATGCGCAGTATCCTCTCTATGGAGCATAGTGTATGCGTCCATATATAATCATTGAGAAAGCTTTACGTGTGACCCATATAAAGTATATTGTATGCCTGCTTTGAGTCATCTGAACCCAACAGATGATTTGGATGGCTTTAGTCACAATTTTACAAGTTGGCTCTCGAGCATCAGATCTTGATTTAACACTAGTGTTTTATTTTTAGAGCAAGCTTTTTATACTTCCATAAAACTTATATATTTCCCCTTATCTAACCGTTCATTTTGAATGGAGAGCTAAGATTGCTCTACTCACAATACCACGACTCTACACTATTTTATTTTTAATTTTTTTTCTATAAATTATTTTGACACCAAATTTTGGGCATTCAATCCTCTATTAAACTTGCACTAGCGAAAAAAATAAAACAAACATATTTCCAATAAAATAAAATGACCAAAATACCCTTAAAAATTTTAAGGGGTATTTTGGTTATTATATTTTATCGGAAAAATATTGTTAATATTTTTAATAAGTGCACCCCAATGAGAAGATGATACGTACAAAATTTCATATTCATAAAATTTGTATAAAAAAAACTAAACATAAAATACTTTGAGATGTCGGATTTAAGATCAAATGGTGAGCATCAAAATTGGACGACTGGATGGTAGGGGAAACATAGATCTTCTATGCTGTAGGGGAAGTATAGAAACCTTTCCCTTATTTTTAATCTTTATCTTATAAATCATTTTGTAATGAAATTTGGGTATCGCACATCTGACAGGGCCACATAATAAAAATAATAAATAATATTTTCTATTTAAAATTAAATTAATACCCCTAAAACTTTTGGGGCTATTTTAGTCATTTATTTTTATGGAAAATATTTATTTTATTTTTTTCCTTAAGAAACTAAAAAGCAACTAACCTTTTGACGTGACATTGTGACATGAGTAATCCTAATCGTCCAATCAATTTGAATAGCAAAGAAGTGGGGTCTCATACAATTTATATGTTGGTAGGGTATTTTAAAAAGCTAAAAATGATATTTTTTAGAGAAAATTTTGAACAGTTAGACTTTTATTTTTTGAGTGGAACACAACTTTACATCATCTTAAAAATGAATATTTGATACCTCGAGGGATGCAAATGGATAAATACGTCCCCCGATGCATATGCTACTTTTATTTACTTATAAAATATGATGGGAAAGGTTTTTATACTTTCTTTACATCATAGAAGATATATGCTTCCCCTACCATCCTGTAGTCTAATTTTGATCAAGAGAGTCACTCAACGTTTAATCTTAGATCCGATGTCTCAAAATATATATTTTTTTAGCTTTTTTTATACGAATTGTATGATTATGAAATTTGGTATGTTTCATCGTCTCATTGGGGCGCACCTATAAAAAATATTAAAAAACCTTTTCGATAAAATGTAATGACCAAAATACCCCTTTAAACTTTCAGGGGTATTTTGGTCATTTTATTTTATTGAAAATATTTTCTTCATATTTTTAGCTAGTGCGAGTTTAATAGAGGATTGGACGTCCAAAATTTGGTGTCAAAATAGTTTATAAAAAAAATTAAAAATAAAATAGTATAGAGACGTGACATTGTGATTGGGACAATCTTAGCCCTCCATTACGGTTGGATAAAGGGAAGCATATAAGTTTTATATTGTAGAGGAAGCATAGAAAGCTTGCCCAAATATGATAAGGAGGATACAAAGTAATTGTAAAAGAAGGGATGAATTCATAGTGGTAAAGTGGTTTCAAAAGAAAGGCAAAATCAACATTTACTTCCTTCCAAACTTATAATTTTTAATTTTAAAATTTTATTTTTTTTAACACATTCATATTCTCCATGTTAGAGATTATATATATTTAAAAAATTAGGTCACAAAATCTATCTAAAAAATAGATCATGAAGAGGGGACGAATATCTACATATGAGCCCTCGGACTCATATGACCATTTTGTTTACAATTGATAGCTTAAGTGAGTCATAAAGTTTGAAAATTTTTATTTTTAACTTTGAGCTTCATCAATGGAACAAGTGCAACTGCATAATTTTACATCCAATGATCAAGATTAATTGTGACCTCCATGTATCAAATCTAATATTTTTCCTTATAATAACGTGCTCATTATGTTGTAGAAGTATGACGCACTTCTAAAAATTGTTTGGAGATATAGTTTTGGTATCGAAAACTTTATGATGGCTTGAAAATCTGTTTTTGTTCTTAGTTATGAAATTTAAAATTATAAAAATAATATAGATCAAGCATGTCAACAAACACTTAGAAAATCCACATCATTATTTTATATGAGAAAGTATCGAATGAGACATTTGATACAAGGTGCTGACATTAATCTTGACCATTAGATGTGAAATTGGGTAGCTGCAATTATTCCATTGACTAAGCTAAAACTTCAAAAGAATTTTTCTCGAACTTTGTAACACATCCAAGTTATAAAATTTCACATCAAATGGTTTTAGAAAATTATGAGCATCTTGTATCAAAGATAAATGGTCCCATTGTATACAATTCCATTTTATATAATCTATATATTTCTCTAGCTATTTCTTTTTTTTCGTCCCATAACATAAACTAAAAAAATTATATACATATGAAATTCACCATCTAGAAAGTGAATACATATTCTTAATATTCCACTTCAAAAAGGAAGTGGGTGGTCTTTTCCATATTTTTGGGGCAGGAGCAATTTTTATTTTCTTTTTTTTTAAATTTACTGGTCATTATCTTTCCCATTTGAGTTAGGGATTATGTGTAGACAGTATAGATAATTGGTTACAAGATACATTGTTTTTAGAACTTAAACTTCTTTTTTTCTTCATATCGGCAGATCTCGAAGTCGAGATGGTCAATTTGAGAGGTCTCCTACATTGGAACACACTTCTTTTTAAAGTGCACTGTACTTCAATAGTATATGGCTGCTGCCTTATATAAACTTTTACCAAAAGTAATTTTGTTTTCTATTTTTATTTAACTTTTTATTTTATCCATAATTTCGGAAATGTCTTATTTTTGTAGAGAACACCAAATAAAAATAACAAAAGAATATTTTGGACAAAATTTTGCTCAAAATATCCCTAAAACATTTAGGGGTATTTTGTTTAAATATTTTTATCCAAAATATTTTTTATTATTTTCATTTAGTATGCATTACAAAAATAAATCTACATCCTAAATTTAGGTAAAAGTATTTTTAAATAAAAATAAAAACAAAATTACGTGTTTTGACCGTTAGATGTTGCCTAGTTCAATCTGAACAGTAGGAAGGATGTTCGTGCACCCTTCCACCTTCCACATCACCGTCAAGACGATGAGGATGAGAGACTTTCCCACAAAACAATGGTGATGCAGAAAACAAGTCTAGGTATATACCTTAATACCCGTTGGATCACCGTCTAATTAAGATTAACCGTTGGAATATATGAATCACCTGTAGTGACTCGGATAGGAACATGCAACGAAACCATAATCCAACGGTTGTTACCGAGGTATTCCTACGCTAAAATTAACAGCATCCAACCAAGTAACAACACTAAAAGGTCAATATTAGTCCAAAAAAAATTAAAAGGGCTAAAAAAAGATGGAAAATATATATAAAAAATAAATTTTAAAAGAAATTAATTTATAGTCAGAATATTAAAAAATTTAAAAAGGAAAAATAGAGATCTTTAGCACATTATAATACAAACTCACACACCATAATAAAATATATATTTCTTAGCTATTCTTTTATAACCGCGTTCGAAACTCGACTCCGCAAGGTGCAGAGTAGAGAAACTCTCTAGAACTCGGCTAAATTAGGTGAAGCATATCATTTCAAACCTTACATGTAAAAACCATAGATTTGCAGGATTGGACCGCCCGCCACCAAACAAGTAACAAATCTAATTCAATAAAAACCCATCTAACCACTAGTCAAACTGGTTAGACCAAATTTTAACAAAAATAAAAAATATTTTTTAAAATTACCTAAATTTTTTTAAAGTTGTTGAACCAATTAAACCCAACTAATTTAATTGGCATGATTTTAATAGATTTTCAACCAAATTCGATTTTACCTTGGACCAGACCTGCCGAGATACTTATCGGCAGCCTAACCTGTCAAACCACTAGTTCAGTCATGTCTTGAGCAAGTTATCCAAGCCTAGTCAGAAATTTTGCTCCTCTTTCTAATGGAGCTCAACAATTGTGTGTGAGAAAACAAAAATCTCAAACAAAACCTTGTTTCTAGCCGTGTAGGGGGAGAGAGGGAGAGAGACTTAACTCTAATCTGATCATTTCTAGTAAATCAACGGAAAACTATACCTGACTGGAACAAAGGAAGTTCATCATAAATTGACATGAAAACACGGTTCTAATTGAAGACCTTCTTTAGAGAGAGAGAGAGAGAGTCTTAAGACTAACTTTAATGTGATCATTTCTAGTAAATCAACCAAAAAGTATACATGCCGGGAATAAAAGGAACTTTCAGTGTTTAACATTTGAAAAAAGGAAAGCGGGAGAGAGAGTGAGTTTTTGAGCAAGCAGTCAGTGACTTCCATGCAAACCGCTTCATATCTATCCATATTTGATCCTTTGTAGAAAAAGCCATCTAGATTTGTTTGTTCCTCTACAACCGTGATCTATTTACACTTTCAGGGCCTCCCCAATTGTAGATTGGCTCTGATCTTCTGCCTTTAAGCAAAGATTGTTTAAAAAAAAAAAATAAAGGTAAGAGAGAGAGATAGAGAGGGACATTGCTGGTCTTGGACTGCATATTCACCCACCGAAAAGCTATAAACCCATTTTAGCTGAACATTTTATCAGATAGGTTAGCTATAACAAACCCTGTGAATACCTGAGAAAACAAAGGATAAATGTATAAATGTACCAAAAAAAAAAAACACAATGACTTGCTCAATTTACTAAACAAAATTGAACTACAAAGAGATTAGTTGGTACCTGAGCTGAACCAAGAATGTAAAGAGCTGAATAATGGCGTCCATGAATTACCATATCGGCAACCATTGCAAGAGGTATTGTGAGAGACATACCCAACGTAGCTACCAAAGGAGTCGTCCAAACAACCGAGAGTGCCCTATGTTACCATCAAATGTATCATTATCTGTTCCTTCTAAGATTTTCAATCAGTAATTTCTTAATTTTTCTCTTCTAGAATCATAAATTGATTAATGAGAAGAAACTATGACAAAAACAGAATAAAAACAAGAACAGTTTCCCAGGTTTTGAAAAATCACCATTCAAGATAAGGAATTCCCAATCCAGAATGAATTTGGATGGTACCCGAGCAGATTCCGTCATGGGATTGGGAATCTACCAAATTTCAATTTGTGATTTATGAAATATATTTGAGTCAAAGCCATGTTTTTTGATGATTTGAATTGTATATACTTGGGACTAGGGCTCTATGCAGGTGTTTTTTTATTTATCCTACATTGTTTGGTTTTATTCTTCCATCATCGAGCTGAATGGCCAATTCGGCTGATCCAGATCGAATGATGGTGCAGTGGGTGGATGATCGGGAACCCAATTCCGGGTTTTAGACACTAGCATCTACCATCACATGAACCTGAGAAACTGTACTCAGAGCAGTACCCATTGAAATATTACAATTCCTATAGAAAGACAAAAATAATAAAGCTTTGTGCAAGTCGTCAATAAAAATTAATTAGTTGAGCAATGAACTCAAGAGTTCAAACAATAATAAAGTAAATGAAAATAAGCTTCCAGTACCAGAAATAATCAGAAAGCACACTGCCCACAAAGCCATTCAAGAGCAAGGCTTCATCCACTGATGCAGAATGAGGGATGCTGAACTTGGGTTCAATTCCGAAAGCAGTTAGAGGCCACACTGAGACAAGAAAATCGAAGGCACTTCAATGTAAAAAGTGTCTAAAAATATTGAAGGAAATGTCTTTTGTAGAAATATTGCTTATGATTTTATGTTAGGAAAGACCCTCATCGTTGAATCGCCTATCCAACAATCCAATCTTGAGATGTCAATAGAATTTGAATGGCATTTACTGAAGTACTCACGCATCTCAAGTTGAATAGAATCCAACTGTCAGCAACCATTTGTAGACTACATACGTAGGCAATGCAATGAATGAAATGCATAAAGGGATAGTAGGCTAGTTATTCAATATATATATATATATATATATATATATATATATATATANAGAGAGAGAGAGAGAGAG